TTTAGCGGGTGGAATTATTTTGCCTGGATTTATGGGTCTATGGCAAGTTTGAAATAATAAGATTCTTTAAGACTCTTAAAAACAATTATGACTATAAATATTTCATAATAGAGAATCTATAAAACATTATTTAAATTAAGTTTCTCTGTCAATATTAGTTTGAGGACATTCTTAACCCCCAATGAAGTGACTAATTAAGTGTCACTTGTAAATAGAATAAATTAAGGTAAAATAAAAAAAACTATGTTATTATAAAATATTGAAATTGAAAAATAAATAAATAAAAAACCCTAAAATTATTTAGACCCTTCCTCACTTGCCATTTCTTCTTTGTTGACTTTTCATTTTTTTCTTTTAATTTGGTTTTTCTTCGCTACATTATTATTCTTTCATATGTGCATTCTCATCTTCACTAATCCATAAAATCTAAATGATATTGATGTTGTGCTAAACTTGTAAATCATGTCCACTTCTATTAAACATAGTTTGAGTAAATATTAAGGGATGTTGTTGTTGATTTTTTCGGTGAAAGGTGTTCAAAAGTAAAAGTTTATCATGTGATAATTAAGAATTATCACAATAAGAAATAGTATCCACAATTCAATGAAGCACCCAATTTTGAGAATGTGTATCTTGAAATTAAAATGAAATGTAACAATTTAGTAACTATAATGACTACACCATACACTTAGAAATGGAGATTAAGTCATTCGAGTTGGTGGATCATTTGTTTGAAGGATTTTAAGTGTGTGGGTAAACCTATGCCTCTCCTGAGGATAGTTTTAAATTTGTTCTAGTTGTTTCGGATTAGATAAGGGTAAAAAGGTGGTTTTGGATTTGATTTCGACCCATATTCAATGGTATTGACAATTTAGAAGTTGTGTAATTAAGTAATTTTTTGATGATAATTTGACGATTAATCATTGAATGATCTATATTATTTGTCTGACTTAGAAGTGAATTAGTATTTTTCACACTCTAGGAGTTGATTTTTCTCTGATTGATTGAGACCAGGACCAGGTCTTTTGCCTGGGTATTTAGGGGAGAGCTGGATTGCCAACTACTTTTCTCTATTGTGCATGTAGCCTGCCTTTTTTTACTTTCCTCGGCCAGTTTTCTCTTGGTTTTCAGTAGCAAAGCATAGTGTTTTTTTCTAGGTTTCATGGTTGGTATTTGCTTCTTGCTTCTAGTTTAGAGATTTTTGTGTAGTGTTCTTTCTAGACTTCATGGTTGGTATTTGCTTTTGGTTTAGATATTTAGAGATTTTTGTGTAGTGTTCTTTCTAGGCTTCATGGTTGGTATTTGCTTTTGGTTTAGAGATTTTTGTGTTGGTGCAACTTGGTGTAGAGACTTTTGTGTTGGTGCCGCTTGGTGTTCTTTTTAGAGTTGTTTCTGTTGGAAATTCACCTCACACCCTATGAAGAATTCTCTTCAATCTTGATCTCAAGATTGATGAACAAATCCACAATATGATAGTAATGGTAATAACAAGTAATTATCAAGAACAACAAAAGAGAAGAAGAATAACAAACAAGAAAGAGAAGAATGAGAGAAGAAGTATTTGGAGAGAATGTGTTACCCACAACTGTGGGATTTCTTATTGAACTTTCACTTGCTAACTGCAACTGTGAAATCTGTTCTGTTGTGATGTAGAATACAAAGCAAGACACCCTATTTATAGTTTTAGGTTTACACTAGCCCAAAACATAAAAGGCCCAAAATATTCTAAATCAAATCTAATCATATGATATCAAATCTAATCATATGATATCTAATCATATCATATCAAATTAATCATATGATATCAAATCTAATCATATCAAATCACAATGAATTATATTTAACACACCACCTAATTCATTGTGTCTAAACTGTCTACATTCATCATGGCCCTTAGTCTTCTGAAGGCTTCGACCTGCACTCCCTTCGTCATGATATCTGCAATCTGATTCTCAGTTCTGCAGTGTTCCAACTTCATCTTCCCTTCTGCTACCCGCTCTCGAAGATAATGGAACCTCATTTCGATGTGTTTGCTTCGACCATGAGCTATTGGATTCTTTGCCAAGTTGATAGCTGACATGCTGTCTATCTTCATGGTAATTGCTCCATGGTTCTTCCCTGTGATTTCTTCGACCAAGTTCACCATCCAAGTTGCTTGACATGCACAAAGGGAAGCAGCTATATATTCTGCTTCGCATGATGATAATGCCACCACTGGTTCCTTTCTCGAATTCCAAGCAACTGGTGCACCACCTAACATAAACACATATCCAGCTGTGGATTTTCGATCCTCAGCATCACTACACCAACTGGAGTTTGTGTATCCCACTAACTTGCATTCTTTTCCTTCATCAGCTGCTGGAAACAAAATGCCATAGTCGAGAGTTCCTTTCAGATACCTCAGTATCCTCTTCGCCGCTGCTAGGTGTGATACCTTTGGTTTCTGCATGAATCTACTTATCATACCAACACTGTATGCTAAGTCAGGCCTTGTGTGGCAAAGGTATCTAAGTGACCCAATAAGTCTTCTGTATTGGGTTGGGTCGACATCATCTTTATCTGAATCCTTCGACAGTTGCAATCTGGGCTCAACTGGAGTCGAAGTTTGGTTGCAATTGAACATAGTGGGACTTTTTTCTAGAGCAACCTTTGTGAGAGACACACCACATACTCACCCAAAACCTTAAGGTGATAGGTGTATGGGTTCTCTCACTTATAAATGCTCAAGTCACCACATTTCTATCCAATGTGGGACTATTATCCACCATACTCACACTTGTTAATACTTAACAGTTTCATATTGTTATTTTTTTAGGAGTTCCGCTTGTGCTTGTTATTGTGGTTAATTTATCTCTTGTTTGGACTTTTAATATTAATATATTTACTATTAAAAAACACAGTGGAAAATGATAAAGTGAGAGACATAATCAAATGTAAGGAGCTTGAATGTCCCTGAGAAGTTGTTTTTGTTCTTACTTGAAAATATTCAAGTAAGAGCATGTTGGTGGAAGGAAATTAAAGAATAAACAAACAACTAAAAAAATGGATTGTTAAGTATGTTACCGAGAATATTAGAGTTGAGCCGCGCATCATATATGTTAGATGAACTTATGATTGCTTAAAAGAAAAATATTGAGTGCATATGAAAGACTCTAATATTTATGAAGTAATCAGTTTTTTTTTATAGAGGATAATGAAATGGAACAAGATGACAGAATGTGGGAATTATGAACAGAAAATTTAAGGAGTAACCATAGATCAACGATATAAATTAGTCAATCAGTATCAATTCTGATTCCATAATCCGTTTCACAATTTTAAAGGTTTTATGCGTGACAAGATACTTGTCGATAAGAACTCGAGGCATTATGTAGGCTATTTATTGGAAGGAACATAAGTTTTTTTTAGAGCTTTTAATTCCATTTCTTAAAGTTATTAGCCACCATACGAGTTTCCTTAAATGCCATCAAGTTGAGAATTTCTTATCTCACCTTTTGATATTATTAGTCATCATAGGCGTTTTCTTAAATACCCTCAAGGATGCACCTTTTTTTGTACTTAATGTTAGATTTTTTCAAAAATACATCTCCAGAATCATATATTTTACTCATTTTTACTTTAGACCCGCATTTAAGACGTGACTAATAATCTCAAAGAGTGAGATAAAAAATTTCCTTTTTTTCTATTTAAAGGGCAATTTGGGCGGTGGGCTACTGTCTATGGTTGGCTAAGATGTCAACGATATTCATGTTACTATACAATAATTAATGTGAAAAATATGGATAATTTAAAATACTTGTAGACATTGATTTAAAAAGATCTCGATGATGATAGATAAAACAAAATGAAACTTCATGTTTGACTTGACGAATATAGTTTTTAATAAATTATTTCTATAAATTTTGTAAAGTTTTTGTATTGTGCTAATTATTAACAATGTGTTTATAAAAGTTGATTCCTGCAATGTGAGAGGTGATGCAACATGCACATTGTAAATATCGTTCAATGCACTTGTGGAGAAAATTCACAAAGTGTAAAGACAAAGAGCTTCGGGTTCTTGAAGTTTTAAAAGGTCAATAGATTTAGTTTAGGGTTACAATGGTGACAATCATTTAAGACGTTTAATAAAGTATCTGTCAAACTAGAGCGAATCTGAGAAAAACCAATAAAGAATCTGTTAAACTGGAGCAAATCTGAGAAAAACCAATATGCTTTTTTGGCAATTTGTCTGAGATCAAACAATACCCAGAACTCATAAAAATGCTAGGCACCTAATTCTGGCATATTTCCTTCATATCTTGCTCCATGACCGAGACTTTCTCCTCCTCATACCTAAATTTAATACCTTATGTGTTTCACTTGATTCAAGTATTATGTTAATCTCTCAGCACTTTGAGTTAACATATAGAAATCTCTTTCCACTTGTTAATCATTGGCACACATAAAAAAATATTAAGACTAACTAAGAGTAACTCCGAATGATGAAACAAGAACATGTCAAAAATATTAAGTGGTAAAGGCAAATAAAGAACACTTAAAAAATGGACTCCATGGCTTCAAAAAGAAAAACACATGGTGACTTTGAGTCTGTATACCAGAGAGATTGGTGAGTAAAACTTTGAATCCTCAACAGCATGGTCTAATTAAGGACTTGTGTAATTGAAAGACCACACATGGTGACTTTGAGTCTGTATACCAGAGAGATTGGTGAGTAAAATTTTGAATCCTCAACAGCATGGTCTAATTAAGGACTTGTGTAATTGAAAGACCACTGCTTATTTCCACGGTAATCTTTAAATTTCAATTGGCATTGGTTGACTAGAACTCCTAAATACAGTTCCAATAGTTCAAAACTAAAGTTTTGAGGCATCACAACAAATGCGGAATTCTTTTAAAAGGTTTCAACAACATATAACATTACCAACTCTAACACCACTTTCATAACTTTCTATGGTACAAGGCATTTTAAAAAAAGTAATTGAATTCTATACCAGCTAATTTTAGGATGAAGATGCTAACTGCTTCAATTTCGCCTGTAAAATAACCCCAGCATCATCTGCCACATTCTTCTTTTTGGATGCAACCTGCATTTATAATTACACAGATTTAATTTTCTGATGGATAACATCAAGTCTATTCTTAAATACAATTTCATTATAATGAGAGTTTAGTTGAAAATGGAAGTGAGATGAATTCTTTATCTCAAGGTTTTAAAATACATTCCGTTACCACAGAAATGATTGCAACAAAACGGTATCGAAAGGTGCCGATACCGAATAACATTATCCACCATTTTTATGATAAGAAATAAAATATGGTTAATTCACACTGCAATCAGTATCGCAACATCTGTACCAACGCGGCGACAATCAGTATCGCAACATCTGTACCGACGCGGCGGCAATCAGTATCGCAACATCTGTACCGACGCGGCGGCAATCAATATCGCAACATCTGTACCGACGCGACCGCAACCAGTATCGCAACATCTGTACCGACACGACCGCAACCTGTATCGCAACATCTGTACCGACGCGACCGCAACCTGTATCGCAACATCTGTACCGACGCGACCGCAACCTGTATCGCAACATCTGTACCGACGCGACCGCAATCAATATCGCAACATCTGTACCGACGCGACCGCAATCAGTATCGCAACATCTGTACCGACGCGACCGCAATCAGTATCGCAACATCTGTACCGACGCGACCGCAATCAGTATCGCAACATCTGTACCGACGCGACCGCAATCAGTATCGCAACATCTGTACCGACGCGACCGCAATCAGTATCGCAACATCTGTACCGACGCGACCGCAATCAGTATCGCAACATCTGTACCGACGCGATCGCAATCAGTATCGCAACATCTGTACCGACGCAATCGCAATCAGTATCGCAACATCTGTACCGAAGCGATCGCAATCAGTATCGCAACATCTGTACCGACGCGATCGCAATCAGTATCGCAACATCTGTACCGACGCGATCGCAATCAGTATTGCAACATCTGTACCGACGCGATCGCAATCAGTATTGCAACATCTGTACCGACGCGGCCACTATTTAAAACCTTGGTTTTTTATCTCATTTTCTAAACAAAATATCAATTTAGGTTAAAATAACTGTAATTCGAATAATCACTCTCCACAACAGAATAAACAAATTAGGTATAACTGCAAAAATATAATGAAAATAATCATTGCAAATACATATATCAAAATCAAAATCAAATTAATAGCAGATAATTACCTCAACAAGTTGATCGAAGTTAGATTTGAGTAAATTGATTTTGCGCTCACAATAATCCTTTCCTTCAGGCATTGTTTTCTGTTTTTAGCATCAACACAACAATTTAATCAAATTAAAATAAAAAACGATAACATTTCAAAACCCTAACAAAACATACAATTCTCACACGAAGAACGAAGAATCCGAAAAATAAAAAACATACATCAATGATACAGATCTAACTATTTCTAGAATTAACAGTAAATAAGCAAATGGAAAGGAAAAAGTGTGACCTCGACGAAATAACCGGTTCCGATATCGACGAGAACGTGATGAGGATCCTGAAGAGTAGCGGGAACGTAGAGAGAAGCGGTGAGTGGGACGAGGATTTTACTACCGTGAGATCGGAGAGAGAGATCGTTGAGAGCGGTTGTGGCGAGCTCAAGGCGAGTTGTGGCAGTGCCGATGTTGGTGAGGCTGTCTTGAAGAAGGTTAACTTCCATATCTGCTTGTTCCTTAACTGCCTTCAACTGTTCGACGCTCATTCTCTCAAGAGTCATCGCTCCGCTAGCGCTCTTCGACGAAGCCATTATTGAATTTTTTTTCACTTTCTCGCTCTCACTCCCTAAACCCTTCAACTCCGATTTGATTCGATTTGCATCCGGCACCCCGTCAAAATAAACTTATTAAGATTTTTTTAATTGTAAACCTCATTAAAACATATTGTTTGACAAAGGATTTAAATACGTATAAATTATTTAACAATTATAATGATAAACTTACAATTATTAAAAAGTTTAAAGATATAATAAAAAACTACTTAATAATTTTTTTAATTTTTTTTTTAATATAACATGTTTTTTTTTAAATTACCAAATAAATTAATATTTCAAAAAAAAACAAATTGACTATGCTTGTAGGAGGAGGAGTCGCCATATGAAATGGTTGATCAAAGTCTTCCAGACCTGATTCGCCATTTCATATGGCGCATGGGTTGACTTTGGGTTGCTCTACCTTACACTGAGTCGTCATATGGGATGGCGCATCAGTTGTAGGTTTTTTTTTTTAATATTTGATTTTTATTTTAAAAATATATATAAAAATTATTTTTTAATATTTTGTAAAAAAATATATAATTTTAAAAAATAATAAATTTTTAAGGGTATTTACAACATATCATATGTGGTATGTACTATTTTATTTTTCTATAAATAAGACTGCACACTCATATATTTTTTCACAACAATTTAGTCTTCATCATTTTGAAATCAGTTTAGAATGTCTGTATTTCTAAATCAACGTTCATCGTCGTCGTCATCATCATCGGAAGAACTGTTTCCAACATTTCCTCTAATGAAAAGAAATGTTTTAGTTTATTTTTCAGCAACAAAGTCTCCGATGAAGGTGCTAGTGTGAAATATGCAGACTTTGGAGCATTTAGGGAACTGAACCGCTGGCTAGAAGGAGATATTGTTGCAGGTGAAAAAATTAGGAAATTTGAGAGGTTGATTGAGGAGTCAGGGAGAAACGGAGTTACTCGTGATTGGAGAAAAGTGGAAAATGATGTTGGTGTCCTTGTGATGATGTTAACACCAAAGAAGATTACCTTGATGGGTGTGATATCCTAGACAAGTTAATGCATTGTGTTGTTTTATGTGAGTTATTTTCGGATTGTTATTTTGCTATTAGGTTATGTTGTTATTTTCGTAATGATATTAAGTTATGTTTGTTTAATTTATGTTGCTTGTTAATTGTAATCGCTTAACTATGCTTTCAATGGAATGAAATTTGTTGTTGATTTAAAGGGACACGGTTACATTAGAAAATATGATTATCTACTTGATCCTACATTGGGGCATTTTGTACGATTGTGTCCTGTTTGCCGGCACGAACTACATAATTTGACCATTTTGTTTGCTGCATCCATCTCCGTTCAAATGCGCGTGTTATTAGGGCGATCATTTTTCTTTCTTCGCATCAAATCATTATGCCAAACAATTTTGCCTTCATATGGAGGCCAATAGTCCTCCTTTACCACCACTTGAAAGCTACATGTGTAGACATTGCATAGACTTATCACTTGGTGAATAGCAGAAAGATAGTTGGTTGGATCCTGACGCGCCTTCGAACATGTTGTTATAACATGAGAGCAAGGCATACGAAATGCCTGAAACTTTCCACAGTCACACCAACTCCTATCCAGTTCCACTTAGTAACATCCCCTAGACTTTCCTTCATTGTGATCAATTGACTCGACAACATTTAACCAACCTTTATTATGGTCAAAGATTGTGACCACATGTGTATTGGCTTTGGCAGCCTCGTCTTTCATGAATTTTGTTGAACTATTATTGTACAGCTGACCAGATTGTAATACTAAACCCCACTTTGTACGTTTGTTATCAAAGAGTGCCCCGAACCTAAAATATGTTGCCTTTATCAAGGCAGTTACTGATAGGTTTTGGATTCTCTTGAAAACAGAATTCATTAATTCAACGAGGTTAGTTATCAAGTGGCCTCATCGCACCCTATTATGGTATGCCCTTGTCCATTTCTCTTTATGAATATTATCAATTCATCTTAATGCATATGTGTTTGTCACTCTGATCTCGTCATGGTAGTGTTTGAATATGGGCTCTGTTAGTGCATATCCTGCATTCATAACCTTCTTCTTTAGTGTTTTGTCTTTGATTTCCCGCATGAAATTTTGGGCGATATGTCTTATGCAATACACATGGGTCGAGGGAGGATCCTGCCAACGGTTATCAAGGTTTTTGTATGCACTCTCGATTGATTGGTGTCTATCAGAGATCAAACAAAAGTTAGGTTGGGGAGAAACGTATAAGCGGAGATTTTTTAAGGGAAAAACTCCAACCCCCAGCAGTCTCCCCTTTAACTAGAGCGAAGGCTATTGGAAAAATGTTGTTGTTCCTGTCCTGTGCCACAGCCGTGAGTAGCGTGCCCTTATATTTCCCGTACAACCATGTGTCATCAACTTGAATAATAGGTTTATAATAAGCAAAGCCTTTGATACATGGTTCAAACGCCCAAAAGAGTCTATGAAAAATGCCATTTCCACTAATGCAAGTCTCGTCTGGTGTATACGCCAGCATTGTCTCCAAGATGGCAACAGTCCTTGGAGAATATTGTTTAAGTGCCACCAAGAATTTTCGAAGTTCTTTGTAAGACTCCTCCCAATTCCCAAACACGCTTTCAACCGCTTTAGTCCTAGCTATCCATGGTTTCTGGTACGAAGGAGTATAATTGTACCTTTGAACCATATGTGAAATTATGGATTATGGTACTCACCTTCAAAGAAGGGTTGTCGCTAATGACCAATAGAATCTCATCGCAAATCAATTGAAAGTTGAGCTTGCAATGGTCCTGCATCAGATTCATGATTATATAAGTGTGAGTTGGACCCATTGACCTTATCTTTCATGAATCACTTCTCTTCTGGAAAGACGCTGCTAATCGAAACAGACACACCTCATTATGGCAATAAATCTTATACAGAGTCTGATTTGTTCGACCGACTCTATAATCTGCTGATAAGTCCATGTGATATTGTTTAATTGCTCGGACATAATCTTCTTTTGTACAAAAGTTATCGCCCTCTTTTAATAGTTCTTTTGTTGCGTAGTTTGGGATGTAAAAAATATCTGTTGAGGGTTCATCGTCACCTAAGTTGAGACTTGTCATGTGTTAAGGTGGGCAATAAACATGACTGGGTGGAACTCCCTCTTCCTCGTTGTTTACCATGTCATCAACAATGACTTCAACTGCTTATTCTTCTTCATCAATGGCAACGACTTCAGCGTCTTCCTCATCAGATTCGTAAAAAACTTGAGAAGAATCAAGTTATTGAGACAGTTGTTGTTGTTGTAACGTAACATATAGCATAATATCTGAGAAACCAGAATACTCATGACTGCGGAACATGTTACGCACATCTTTATCGTCTCGAATCTTTAATTGGAAAATTTTACATTGCTCGTGCCCGCCAAAGAACACAGGATTCTTGTAGATTATTTGGCCAACTGGATCACACTGTAATTTCATTTCTAATCTCGATTTCAAGTGTAAAAAATTTGATCTTTTGTCAATCAAAAATCTAGTAACATCAGTATTTTGAAAATTGAAACCGGCTGAGTTACATTCAAAATCCTCACCGTTTAAATGTGCATTGATCATATATTGTGGTGTTTGATTCATAATTAAAATGTTAGTAAACTTGTATTTGAAAGGATTATTTTATTAATTGGTATGATAATAAATCAACTATCTCTACTGTATTAATAGCAATAAAGTGTTGTCTTTTATTATTAAATCTGCATTCATCACATGTCTTTGCGTGCCTACAAGGTTCTCTGCACGACAAAACTAAACTCTGCGTGCCTACAAGGTTCTCTGCACGACAAAATTAAACTCTGCACGACAAAATTAAACTCTGCATGGTTACACTCTGTGTGCCTACACTCTGCGTGCCTATAAGATTCTCTGCATGGCTACACTCTGCAATCTGCATGGCTACACTCTGATTCTATGTATGGCTACACGATTCTCTGCTTGGCTACACTCTGCACTCTGCATGGCTACACTTTGCACTCTACATGTCTACAAGATTCTCTGCACGGTTACACTATGCACTCTGTATGCCTATATTATGCATTTTGCATGTCTACAAGATTCTTACTAATAAATGTCTGCACATGACTACAGTATTAGTCTCGCAGGATATTGTTTTGCACGCTTTCTTACTAATAAATATTCTTGTCATCTTGTTTTATAAAGGAAAAAAATATGATGCATACTTGTAAGACTACATCTTCATATCTTTAAGACTACACTATATGCTGCATACTTGTGATCATATCTTTGTAATAAAGGAAAAAACAAATACCTTTAAGACTACACTATATCAATCAATGATTATAAGATTCTCTGCATTCCAATGACCAAGAATCTTGTAAGATAAGACTACACTTGCACGCTTCTCTTCACCCATGTCATAAAAATTCAGAATGCATGCTTGACAACACTATACTCTAGCAGAACATATATTTTTACAATACTCTGCATGCATGACAACACTGCATTAATGTTTTTGACTTCACGTGCATGACAAGACCACACCTGCACGCTTCCCTGAACCATTATCATCGTGTTTCAGCATGCATTAATAGTGGTAGTATTCACATGTCTATATTATTACCGTAGCAGGCCAACACTCTGCATGAATGACAACGCGACATCATAAATTTTCATGTGACTCATGCACTTAGAAACTTGCACACTAACAACATGCATTTTCATGTGACTCCTGCACTTAGAAACTTGCACACTTCAACATGCATTTTCATGTGACTCCTATCATCACATTTGACCATTATAAATACACGTTCATCAAGGAACAAACTCTTCTCATACCATTACCAACTCTACTCCTCATATGTTCTACAAAATCTTCTTGTCACTCTGTAAACTTCACTCAGCAAACTTAACCCACAATGTCTCTACTCACAATGGGCAATGATCACAGAGGCACAATTGAGAATATCGTAGAGTTTGTAAGTATTTTGCTTTTTGT